TGCAGTGGATGCAGGCATGTAGAGAACGGAGCCAGAGCGACAGCATGAGGAGGGAGAGGAAAGCTGCCACGGCAGCAGTCTGGATTCGGCTGCCTGCATTTCATTCCCAAATCCAGCTGATAAAAGTTGGTGTATGTTCCCTTGTGTAATTGCTAGGTTATCTGGGGGTAAAGGCTATCTGGGGACCTGCTTTCACAGAGGAGTAATTTATCCAGGGTGATACAAAACTCATGTTTAACATGTGAAAACACAGTAACTCTGTAATTTGTTTGTTATACCTTGATAACTTATGCCTTCACCAGTCCCTTGTGCCAGGCAAAATCCTTGTATTTGCACAGTGAGAGTGCAGAACTCGCATTCCTTTGGCATCTTTCAAATGCTGCCTAGGTAACAAAAAGGTCTGTAACTCACTCCATGCACCAGCATCACTGTACTTGCTCCTGTATTCTGTGCTAGTTCCTTTGGTTCCGCATGGGAAGCACTGGATGGGGAGAAATCTGGGGAAGCACTGGATGGGGAGAAATCTGGGTCCCCACACCAAGGGCAAACGTAATATCCAATCAGAGCACCTTACCTGGGAGGAAGGATGGCTAGAACAGACCTTTTGGAGCTGCTCACTCTCTAGGCATGCAAACCAGGGAGATTCATGCACAGAGATCTTGCAGGCCTGCTATGGCTGCTCCTCTGGTCACTTGCTGAGGGTCTCTGTGGTGAAGGAGTAAAATGTAAGGAATGTTTCTCCATTACCTCTTCAAAGATTAAGGGTTGAAAATTAAAGTATTAAGTTACCTTTAACAAAAACTCTGGAAGCTGCTTTATTTTAGAAAATGAGGCGTCCTGTTGAAAGTTAATCATAGAGCTTTTAGTAGATACATTAAGCGAGCAGCAGACTTTTGATACAACAGAGCAGTGAGCAGCAAACTTTTGATACATTAAGCGAGCAAGCAGCAAACTTTTTGATACACCAGGGAGCCGGCCAATGAACTTCATGAAGTGGATGTGACAGCTGCTGCTCTCAAAACCCTCTAAAAGCAAACGCCTAAGCTGTCACTGGGGGCTGCGCTGCAAAAATCTGCACAGTGCTGGAATCTTTGCTGTCTGTGCTGTCCTTCGCTGTCCTGGCTGCTCCAATGAGGCTGCCCATGCTCCCCATCCCGCTCTGGTCCTGCTGCTGCTCCGGCCCTGCTCCCTCGCTGGCTCACTGGGCTGCTCTCGGAGAGGCTTCATCGGAGAAAGACCCGCTGCACCCCCGCGGATCTCCCCCGCCGCACCCTGCAAGCCAGCGCTGGACCCCTGGTGGTGGTAACCCCTTTCCTGTGCTTCTTGTAATTATTCTGGCATTCTCCCACTCTTCTGATTTTTCTCTCCTTCTTTCCTTTTTTATGGAAAATAAAGTCACATTATCGCTCTGGATCCCAACATTTAACCTCGTTTGTGTATTAATCTCGCTTTCAGGTATGTTTAGAGCCTGGTTCCTTTCTGCAGTTGTGGATTGAGGCAAAGCTGCCTCTCCTCGCTTTAAGCAGATTGGAGCAGTTCCCCAGTACCTGCCCTGGGCCTAGAAGAGAGCTGCTGCATTTGCACATTGCAAGCTCTGTTCCTCCATGCTCTCAACCACATTGTGGGATGTCTCCATCTGGGGGACATCTTTAGACTTCACACTCGCAAGAAACTGCTTTTGTAAGACATGTGGTTTCTTTGTCCTTGTCATCACATAATGAACCTCTTGTGTCGTGCAACTAGAGCCGTGTACTTCAATACACAGTTGAAAAACCTAAGTCATCTCCAAAGGAATGTCCTCCAGAAAGGCAACTCCTGCAGATAGCTGACACTACAAAAGCATTAATTACAAACATTGCCTTCTAGTTTTTATTCTTATGTCCACTAAAAGTACCAGTTATTTTTTTTTGTAAACTGGGCTTAAGATGCAATGGTTTAATAATCTATTCAACAGACTATTTTTTCATTTTTCTGTACCTGGTATCTCTGAGGACAAATGAGTCAAATTCTTAGTGTAGAAGTTAATCCTCAGCTATGTCTTTTTCTGCTAATCCTCTCTTCAACTGTTCCAGGGCTGGTACACATTACCAGGTAGAAATGAGTCTGATTATATTCCAGATATTAATTCACTGTTTGTGCAATCATTAAACTTGCACTTACTCCACAAGGATTTCAGCAAACTACTAATGTTCTCAAACTGGTCAAAAGCAATCAGCTGAACATGAAATCATATGCTTTGGCTGTAATCATCACTTCAAGACCTTGCTGTTGCATTGTATAGAGACAGATATGCCTGAAATGAAAAAGTGAACATATTGAATGAAAATAGAAAATTATATTACATTTAACTAAAGGAAACATTTATTAAAAAACATGTTTTCTATAAGGAAACAGCATCTAACTGATATTTCTCGTGATTACTTCTTCCTGTTGAGAATAATTTTGCTTTCCTGGCATTATTATCTATCATGCAATAATGATAATAGATGAACCCTGACATAATTCAAGAATCAAATTTGATCAGGGCTATCTAATGACACAAACTGAAAAAACAGCCTCTCGAGGGATTGTGACTTCAAGCCTGAAGTGAAATAGAGTGGTTTTATTTTGCTCATATAATGGCCTCCCCTGCCACCCGTATAAAAGATTAGAAAGTTTTTTTATACAACATCTTGTGTTTACCTTAAAATTCCATCTGATATTATAACATCTCTGTCTGAGACAAAACTACGCTTCTGAGATCTTCGTCTCTGTGCTTTCTCAGGAGCTGCCCTGAACTCTAACACATAGTTACATGCATGCAAACAGTTTCACACCCAATCTCAAGAAAAATCGTTATTTTAGTGCAAAAGTGAAATAGAAATGGATTGCTCATATGGTTCCTTGTGAATTTATAAATGTGGTTACATACTGTAAGTTTTTAGAAAAAAAAGTACCTGCTGGTTTAGCATGTCAGCAGCAGGCAAGGTGGTCCTGTTCTGCAACCCTAGCAGTAAATTTCTCCGAGGGAGTTGTGAAGTGATACTGGTACCACTTTTGCTCTCCTCCTCACTAAAGGGCAGAGTCTGTAATATTCAACACACAGCACCTTTGGTGGATGAGCTCTGCAGCAGTGCAAACTCTTGTGCAGTTCATGCACTCACACTAGCAAAAACTCACCAGGGCAAGGTTAAGTATAAAATTCTTTTGATAGCGAAGACCTTGCAGAGGGGAGACATTCTCTTCATGTTTCCATTTCATTGTCTCTGTACAAACTTGAGGACAAAATGTTCATGCCTGCGTTATACACAAACTTCAAGGCTAAAAACTGCAAGCTGAAAAGTGTATCTAAATACAAAGAAGTTTGAGAAAACAGCTTCCCATCTCATCTGCCTTCTATTCCCCCACCCCGGTCTGTTTAGGTTCTTGGTCCTCACTGTTTAAAACTAATGGTGTAGAGACAGATGTGCTGTCCCAAAAGCAGCCATTTAAAACTATCTGTAGTCACATCAGTCTCACTTGAAAACCTGGTGGGAGAGTCATTAATAAAAAACCTGTCCTTTCTGAGTATCAGTGGTCAGCATAAGTGTGGAAGGTATGGGCGAAGATTATATATTTGATTTACTGTATTTTACACCTCTTGTTGGGAGATGGCCCAAATCCCTCTGTCCTGAATGCTGCTTGGCTCCCACAAGTCCAGCTGTGGGCTGTCCTCTACCCCCTTGGCTGGTGTCGTGTGGGTGAGTTGTGCTGTTCAATGCTCACTGGAGTGCTCATGACCTTACCCTTAACAATCAATTCAAATGACTGCAATATCCTCAGTGAGCAAAGCACCTGATACCGCTTTTTATTACCTCCTTCAGTACAGTCTGTACAAGAAGCTGACTTGAAGGTGTAGCAGTCTGACCGTCAGCAGAGATTCCCATCCTTTGCTGCTGAGCAATAAAAGCCGGGGCTGTCAAAGCTCAGCCTGAGTGATGCAGACTTGAGCATGCTAATGATATGTCCATCTTTGCTGGTACTCTGCACCATCTTGTGGCTAGCAGAAAAACACCAGAATAGCCTCTGAAATCTTCAACTTGGGTCTTTTTCGGGTTTTTGTTTTTGGGTTTTTTGTGTGTGTTTCTTAATGAAAAATATGGATTGTCAGTGTCCTTTCTACAGCTGACATAGATCTCTGCAGGCTAGCTTACAGACCAGCAAGTGAAGAGACCATCATTAAAGATAAATAGGTTGTGTACAGGCCCTGTAATGTACATAAATTACCCATCTGTAGAAGAGTCACTTGCATTTTCCTGCATTTGAAACAAATCAGACATCCTAGGTGTTAAATACTGAAAACCAGTGAAGAATGTCCTAATCTCTATGATCTCTGCTGTTCAAAGAAACAGTTGTTATTGATCATTAAAGGTTTTCTCATATTCTCCTTGAATTCCTTGGTCTCTTTCAAAAAATTATTTTTAAACAGAACTGGAGGATTCACCATCATTGTTAGTAACATTGTCTTCACTTGAATGTTTGTCATCCAGTACTTGCAGTCCTCAATTTCCCATGAATAGACTCAACGTTACATTGTACAGAACAAAGGTTATTATTGTGAAGCTTTTTTATGGTAAACGGGAGCACATTTTTTTCCATCCTTCAAATCATAATAGATGTCAGACCACGGCTGTTTCCAAAGGAGTAGAAGGGCATCAGCTATCCTTGAATTTCAGTGTGGCAAGAATTGGACTCTCCCGTTCTCCACAGAAAATTTCTGCCCGATACCAAACAACGAAACCAGGGGAGCTGGTGATGGGTTATCCCCTTAATGCCAAATGGATGACTTGCTTTGGCATACCCCTGTCCACTTTTAGAAGAAGGAGATGGGATGATACTCAGTCTGATTTGGGTTTGCCATTTCTTGTGCTTCTTTTCCTGCTTGCCATGGCCATTTGTCCACCACCCATGGTCATGCAGGGCAAGCTGGGTGAGCATGTGGAATTATGACGCTCCTCACAATCTCTTCCTTTTTTTTCCAGAAAAAATGGCTCCGCAGGCGGTGTCCTCAACCCCTGCCACCCCGCTGCAGGAGAATGAAGAAGATGAAGAAGAAGTCAGCAGACGCATGATGGCCAGGAGGATGAAAATCATCGCAGAACTCTTGCAGACGGAGAAAGACTATATCAGTGACCTGGATCTCTGCATCAAGGAAGTGATTCAGCCCCTGAGAAACATGCAGGTGAGTGCCGGGAGTGGAGGATGAGGCAGTGATGCCAAGATCTCAGCTCAGCCACGTTCTGCTTGCAGACAACCTCCATGCAAGCACAAGTGTCAGCGTGAGAGTGACGTGGTGCTGGGAGCGGGTCTGGAGCCAGCGCTCCGGGATGTGATGTGTCAGGGCTCTGGTGAGGAGCGTGGAAGGTCAGATATGCTCCTGACCACTTGTGCTGCACTTGCGTAAAGCCTGTGTCGAGGTACTTGTCCAGAGGCCAGCTTGGATGTTATATCCCTGCCTATGGGCTGCAGCAGCAGCTTCCAGCTCTCCATTCTGCTCTGTAGTTATAACCCTTGTTAAGTGCCATGGCAGATGTTTACTGGTACCTCAAAATGAAGGTTTTTTCCATAGTAGAGACTGGAATGGCATGTACTTCTGCAAGAAGGTTAAATTCAGTTATTAAGATAACTTTATCCATCCTTTCAGATAGCTGTAGTGGATAAATACCATGCTTGACAGGCCAGTGAGAACTTGAGATATTTGTGTTCCACACAAAAGAGGTACATTTAAGAAAGAAGGCTCATAAACTACCTTTCATGGAAAAGACCTTATTAGGCCAATGATACCTATTTTCTTTTTCAGCTGAGACTTCAAAGAGCACCTTTTCCTCAACAGTATTTCAATTTGTAGAAAAATGGTGCTGGAAATAGAGGAGATTGTCCAGAGAAAGATTTATGTTTGTGAGGCCTGAAACATAGCATCCACAGAGGCTGCACAAATGATATCTGCTGCAGAAATAGAATAAAAATAATTTTAAACAGACCTTAACCCATGTAATCTTTATGTAGGGTTTTGTATTAAACTGGTGACAAAATACAGGTGCAGATGCCAAAGTGTCTTTAGATGACATTGGCAGTGCCTCTTAACCTGTGCTGCTAAAACTCCTGCAGGACATTTTTGCTTCTTTAAAACTCTGTCAGAATTTGCTCCAACCCATTTTCAGAAGAGCTGGCATCTGCTGACATAACTTTAAGGAGTTCTTGACTTCTTCTTCCTCCCTCACTTGTTCATCCACTTAGAAGTAGTCTCCACTTGACTTCCTCCCCAGCCTGGCCAGCACTGAGCAAGAGTATTCCCTGGTTGAACTGGCTGAGATTTTTGAAAAATGTGCCGTATTCCATCGCTCTTTTTCACCCAGCTGAAAGCATTCTTTTTGGTTTGTCCTTTGTCACTGTGCTGAAGTGTGGAAGTGCTCATGCATGACGTAGTTCCAAATACTAAGTAGACATGCTGGAGAGGAAGTCAGAAGTCCTGTGCTAGATATACACAGGAAAAGTAATTTAGAGATTATAACTGTCTTAATCTAATAACCTCTGCATTTTTGACAGGCTTTCAGGAATGTTATATGTTTTTAATGCTAGTTTTCCAATAAACTACCATATTGAAAGTTTATAATGTGTTTAGAAAATTGGTCTAGGCAATGAATCTGTTTCATATTTCCAAATGGATAGAACATGTTTTAGCCCCTATAATGCTTATAAAGAAATTAACTGCATCAGTACTGAAAGCGTATTTCTGATTTTGTTACAATAGCATGCAATTTGATCTTCCTGGCATCTGGTAAGCTGCTATGTAAATCAGCAGTTCTCTTCCAAATGGAGAGGTAGGTTCAGAGAGTATCTATGGGTGATGATATTGGTCTTGTCTTTGTTCTCAGTAAGAGCACTGGTTATCTCCCATGATCCCCGAATTGTAACTATTGTCCTTCTGAGCAATGACAAGTACGTGTCCTGGAAATCCTTTACTTCCTCCAAAATGAGTAGGGACACAGAACCAAATTTTCTGTTGGTGGAAATGGATACAATTCAGTGAAATCCATGTTGTATGCCCAGGCTCTGTAAGAAGTTCTTTAGGTTGCATTAACATTCTGAATTAGAAAGGTGTTTATTTTAGGGGAAGTTATATGATCTTGACTTTGGATTTATAGGACAACTAACTTAAAATGGCACCAGCTATCTAGAAGTCTTTGTATACCTGGTAGCTGGCACCAAAGTGCCAAGCTCCCAGTTTATGTAGTGGCCTCTGATAATGAGTGGTAATCAGGGAATCAAACCCAGTGTCAACTATTGTTTTCCCCAGTGGGAAAGTAAACAAACATTTCAAAGCCAGCTAAGGATCTTTTCTTTATTCAGATGATAATATTTATTTCCTTCCTAGGTAAACAGTTTCAGATTAGGGATAGTTCAAATAAGGTTAAAAACACTTGATAACATACAATTTGTCCACTGCGTCAACCATATTACACTAATGTGAAAATTGTGTATGTGTCCTTGAAGTCACAAGGAGGATGTTTATATGAGGTTTTGCAGAAGTGGTGCTTCCTGGAGTGTTGAACACTCAGGGCATAGCAAGAGAAGCTGTGTAGTGCACAACGTCCTTCTTTATCCTTTGCCAGTAGCTGCTTAATATTTGTATTCCATTAGATTGCTCGCTTTGACGTGGATGGCTTGTTTAGCAACATTGAATTGGTCCATCAGCTATCAGCCAAACTGCTGTCATTGTTGGAAGAAGCCACAACAGATGTGGAACCACCCATGCAAATAATCGGTATGTTTACTGTCCTCTTGAGTTCTACAAAGCTATGTGAAAGAATAAACATAACACTCTCCTGTCCTCTGCTCTCATCAGACTTAGCTCGTACCCCTCGCAGAGGCTGGCATGCTAGAAGCTGTCCAAAATGACACAGGAAAAATGACATGTGAAACCTGTCCACTTGCTGTACTGTATTTGTATGATTATGATGATTTTTTCTCCCATCCATCTGGATGCTGAGGGGAAGGAAGGAAGGAAGAAGAAAATGGGTTTTCAAGTAAAACCTGTTGCAATGAGTTATACAACTTACTGCTAAGATCTGTTTCATCTAGTTTTATATTGCCTACCTAAATCCACTTATGCTTACTCAAACTCTTATTTTGCTTACTCAGAGTTGTACCATTCAGGAAAAGCATTAAAAATGTGTGGAATAACAAGCATGTCAAACCCCAACCCACACTTGAAACATGTACCTACTGGTGATACAGTTCCTGTAAGAGGTGGTTAAATGTGCTTTAAGGGACACAGACAGTAGAGAAAGATGCAATGAATCTGAAGTTTGTGGGATTCTGTGTGGGAATGTCTGTAGGGATCACGGGTATTTTCAGCAAGCAGGTGGATATATCACAGCAGTCACAAGTTCTGCAGGTCAGTTCATGAACATTAAGGCTGTGATTCAAGTGATATTCTGGCACAGCTGGAGAGATTTAAGAAGTTACCAGCACACATCAGCTCTCCCATGACTGCTTTGTCAGTGCAGAGGCACCTTAGGGTGAGCTACCTTAAGGGGTCAGGTGGGAATTCTGAATTTGCTTCAGTGCGAAGTCAGTTTAATTAAAAAAATTAAACAGTTCAGTTTAAAAAATTTCCAGCTGTGATTCAGAGGTCAAGAGAAGTTTTTTAATTCCTAACCTGACCACATACTACAGGTAACACCTTATAAAAAGTCCCCCTCTTTTCTCAAATAATTGGGTAAAACATATTGGTTGCCACTTTACTAAGAAACAGGATATTAAAGCATAAGTGGCTTGGGAAAAGTATTAATTCTAGCATGTCTCAATCTGGTTTGCCAAGGCAACAGCTTAACGTAGTTTGATGCGTCTGTGTTGTTTGGCAGTATTTCAGTAAAAGTGCATCATGATGAGTCACACTCTTAATAAGCAATGTTCTATTCTAGCAGGAAGTGCCTTTCTCACAGCCAAGAGAATCATTCTATTAGTTCCCTGCCACATTCAAAAGTAAAGACAAACAATTTCATCCACCTATTAGGGTGTATTTCTCCAGAATGATACAAAGAACCATGAAAATGCATGGGATCATTGATCACAGAGTTGGCTAACTTATGACAGGAAAAAGGTTGTCAAGTAAGGTGTGAGACATTCTTCCGAAGGCTAAGACAAAAATAGGGAGAATAATTGCATCATTATAAACAGTAAGTTGGTAGGTTTATTGTCCTCTGAAAGTACATCAAAGTAATAATTTTGTTTTCAGGATCTTCAGTGTAAAAGTTGTTGAATCCAGTCTATAGAAAAAGCACACTCATCATATTCTGTCATGTTTAATGTATTTTAAAATCTTGTATTGAAGTATCTTGCTTTGGAAGGCAACCCAGTCATGGTGAGGTTCAAAAGAACTAATAATTCACTGTTTTGAAAGAAAAACAATGTGGTTGTTCATAGTCATGTCTTATTTTAGTCTGTGTTCTCCACATTTTATTCTATGTCCGCATTGACAACTGGTAATGTCCAATAGGAGCAGACTTGCAGAGTGAGAGTTTCTGCTAAGGAGATGGCATCCACACTGTACATTTTAAGAGGCCTTACTTCAGCTTGTAGCCTGTGCCTGTGGATTCACATGCCCCTTATGTTGAGGGCAACATAAGGGCCATGTCATGTTGTTGATTGACAGCCCTTATAGTTGGACTTCATAGGATGTGCCCTTGGAGTGTGTCTTCTGGTAATTATCATCCTGAAAGGGATCCAGTTTGTATCACTGTGACTGCTCCACCCCACAGCCAAGGCATGGGAAATAAGGACTAATGAGTGATTGGTTTCAAAACGCATCTCCTAATCTGAGCTAAAATAGGTTAAATAACTTTTGTAGTTCTTCTGTGATTTTTTTTTCTTCTCTCTGTTCTGGGTACATATTCTTCATATTCCTCTGTATATGGAGGAATATGAAGACTTAGCTTTAGCTCTTAGACTCCTTCCGCCCTCTCCTACTGCTGTGTGTACTGGAAGCACCACTGAGAGCAACAGGGAGAAACTGCTTTGTTGCTCAAGTCTTCCTCCTAGGAATTTCTCTTTGAGACTGATGACCAACTCCAGAAAAGGCATCAAGGAGCTTTGCATCTCTAAGAATATTTTTAAAGCTGTGCCAAATACAATGTGATTTTGATTCATAAAGCAAGCTCCCACAGTGATATGCCCAAAATTCATCTGATTTGGCCCATACAGCTCAGAACCAAGATGGGCTTTAGGTTTGAGAAATCCATCTGCTGTTAAAAGGCCCTGCTCATGAAATCAGCACATGATTTTTCTCATCATTGAGCATCAATGGCAGTATCTGTCACTGTGGCACAGTACTTCAGTGAACAGAACTTGCCCAGATTTTTCCTTCTGGAGAAGCTAATTTTCAGCCTGTAGTATACACTGAAATGAGCTGTGAGGCTACATTGCATTTTTCCTACTGAAAGCATGACCTCACTTGAGGGCTTAGCATAATACAGATCATGCTAAGCACTTGGAGCTCTGCTTAATGTTAGTGAAAATTGTGAGAGCTCATGATCTCTAGAATCGGGTGCCAAGCATGCAGGATCAGGGTTAAGGCTTGTTAAGGTTTCCCCTTAGGTTGCTGGCTAATAAAGACTTGTATAGAGTTCATGGGAAAGCCAGGATGTAATGTGCATTGTTAGCCATCAGCATTAGCAGTAAGCACAAGGCAGAGAAGACAGCTAAAGAGCATTTAACTATAGGATGCTGGTGCTTTTTTGACTGTGCCCTTACAGTAACTAAAATGTACTGTGGTGGTCTTAGCTCCTCATTGTTTTTTCCCTTATTTGCACCCTGAAACCAACATGCATTAGACAGCTCAGTTAACCTTCACTGCTAGGGGATAAAACCCCGGGCTGTGTTACTGTGGTAACTGAATCATTTTTCACTTTAAGATGGAGCAGTTCAATGCAATGTATTATGGAACAGCACACTCCGGTCAGGATGAAACATGCAGGATGCCTGACAGCTCAGTGCTTGCTCTGTGAATGAATAGAGAGCTCCCAATTAATGCAGTGCTCAGCTTTTAACTTTAATAAGCATTGCTGTAACTCCACAGGAATGTTTATAAACATCTATTTGGACTGGTTGCCACATAGATATAATTTTCAGTAAATGCCCGACAGGAGTTTTCAGCATTGCTGTTGTTTATTGTATGTATTTCCAAGGATGCTGCATAAGTGTGTAAGAACTGAACTAATACCTCAGCAGAAGAGATGAAGCATGCTCTCCCTGCTCAAATTTCTTACATACACAGAAAGAGACACAGGAGTTTTAGGCTGAGAGAATTAGGCTCCAGAAGTAAATGGGAAATGAGCGTAGGACTACTTTAGTGCCTCTAAAATTCCCAACTGTTCTTTATGGGAAAATGGTGGCGTGGAGGACTGGAAATGGAGGTGTTCTCCCTCTTCAGCCGTATATACACCTAGATATTATAGAAAACTGGCTGTAATCCATGGTTCTCCCTCTTCAGCTGTATATACACCTAGATATTATAGAAAACTGGCTGTAATCCATGGTTCTCCCTCTTCAGCCGTATATACACCTAGATATTATAGAAAAATGGCTGTAATCCATGGTGGTTTTATTTAATTAGGGGAGGGTTGGAGGTTTTTCTTCTGCCATGTGGAGAAAATTCTCTATTCTAGGTCATAACAATTGCCATTTCAAGGTTTTGCAAAACAGATAAAATTGAAATGGCTAATGGAAGATAGAGTCATTATTCCTGTTATTACCCATTTAAGTTCATATTCATGATAAAAAGTCAAAAGGAAAACTAACAGGCTTACATTCATCCCTCCTGCCAGCCCACGATACAAAAATGGTCTCCCTTTATTAGTTAAGCTCTCCTGTGTGTTTTCCAATGAAGGGGCATTAAGCTGGGGCAGTGAATTAGGAGGTTGTGTTTGAAGGGGTGTGAGGTATAGAGATTTCATGCTTTTCCCCTGAGGGAATTTTTGTGCATTAACACTGATATAATGGTGCCTGGCTATGACAAAGATGAGCAGCTGAGAAATACATGTAATAAATAATGCACATAAACACGCAAGATCATTTCTAAGGGAAGTAAAGTGGAAGCCAGCCTTTTTAGCTCACGGCTAATGTGGTGGAATAATAAAACTCCTTCTGAGATGCTGTTGTCTGACTTGACATGCTTTGTTTTTCTCCTTAACAGGGGAAGTGTTCTTGCAGATTAAAGGCCCACTAGAAGACACATATAAAATCTATTGCTATCACCATGATGATGCACACACCATGCTGGAATACTATGAAAAGGATGAAGAACTGAAGCAGCATTTAAGAGACTGTGTACAGTCCTTAAAGTAAGATCTTTTCAAATGATGATTTCCGTCCATAGTCAGTTGCCTGGCAGGGAACATTTTAAATGGATGTAGATGAAAGGTCCCCTGTAAATCCGGAGTTTTATAAGGCTTGCTGGGAGCTCTGGCTTATGCTGCTTTCATGAAAAGATGACAAGCCAGGGGCCATGATTAGATTTTTTTCTCTCTAAGATGGCCAAAAATAGCACAAGAAAGGTTGCTCTTTCCTTAGTTTCAGTGCCCCACACTGGCAAAAAAAAAAAGAAAAAAGAAAAAAGAAAAAAATGCTGCATCATATCATGGGCTATTAGGAACATTTTTTCCAGCTCCCAGGAAACTTGCTGCCCCCTGTCTTCAGCTAGTCTGCTGCTTGAATTGGAACAGGCTGTTATGGAGCTGCTCAAGTGCACTGGCAGTTCTGGGCTGCTGCTACAAGGCCCCAGGATCTGGAGCTGCTGTGCAGTTCCCAACTCCTCATGAGGGGGATATCTGAGAGGAAACAGTGGTGGAGCAGGCTGCCAGTTCCCACTAGAGAGAGGGAAGTGCTTTGTGCCATTGGTTCCAGTGCCAGCCCCTTGGAGGGGGATGTGTAGAGAACTGGGGACATTGCCAAATAATGGATCCATCTATCTTCCAGCACAGTTTTCTCCTGCAGCTAGGGGCAGGGACCAGCTCATCCACTCCATGGAGAGCGCTTCTCTTCCCACCCATAAATCCCCTTGCCCCTCACCTTCCCAAAAGCATCACACAGAGCTCTCAGGAGGGGTCATGCCACAGATTTGGACCAGAGGTCTGGCTCCAGCTCCAGGAATGGCCCATGCTGCACATTGCAGGAGAGATGTAAAGTTATCACAAATAAAGGAGTGTACATCAGCAACTGATATTTCAGCCACACCCTATTTTGTGATTGGTCTGCAGAGACCTGTTAAGACTTAGGAGATGGGAAGTATGTCCAAGTGAAATCTGGAAAGAGAGCTGAAGGAAAATATTAATAACATTAAAAGAGAAATGTTTGCTTTGAAGACAGGTTATGTTGAAAATGAAGCTTATCTTGTGCAACATTTTTGGCTCTTCAATATATAACAAAGTATATTTGTGGGGTTCTCAAGTTTTAGCCACCCTGGAAGTTGAAAGAAATAAATTTTCATATAAACTCAGGCCTTCAGGATAATGGATGGCCAGGTATATTCCCTAAGTAGGTGTTTTGGAGCTGATGCCTACAATAAACTTTCCTGACTAATCAAGAGAAGCCACAATTGTCCTTCATTTATCCATGCTGTTAAGACAAGGTGACATGGAAGGAAATAAAGATAAAATATTATGTCCATGTACATTCTAGGGTGGATGTTGCTACTTGTATTCCAGAGCCAGCAAGAGGTGCTCCTGCTCCAAAACCACAGCTGGGCTTTGTGAAGAGAAAGGATATTTTGTGCTGAGCCACTGTAGCCTTTGCTAAAAGGAAGTGACAAGGACTGCCTTACAATGAAGCCTTGTTTTGCCTTATTCTTTCCTGATTAGCCTTTAAACAGGAACCAACGATAAAAGCACTGGTGTGTGTATATTATGTTGTGATTTTTCCCAGTGCCTAAAGATTGCAGTCAATTCAACTATTAAGATCTGAAAGTGCATGATGAGATTCAGAACTGTGGTCATCTAAAACTGTTTCTACCCAGTGGAGAATATTTGCCCTAGGAAGAAAACTATGCAGGATTGTTACCAAATAAGTTACTGGCTGTTTTCCATTGTGAGACATAACAAATGTGGAGGCTGGTGCTGACTATCTTTGAAAAATGTTTACTTGTTAAATATTTTTCTTTTCCCTTGGAAAGAATATTGTTCCACTTTAAAAAATTTTAAATGAGCTGACATTAGTAGGGGCTTCTGTTCCTCCACCGAGTAATATCTGACATGTGAAAAACAAGTTCTATATCAGGAGCAATTTGAGAGTGGCACTCTGCACATCTGTACAGACAAATCAGATTTAATTAGCTATGTTGAGATTCCTGTTCCTTTTGACTGAAGAGGAAAAAATGCATCCCAAAATGTAGGTGTCTGCATTGGAGACATGTGCAAATCCAATTTCTGTAGAGTCCCGTGTTTCAGCAGTGATTATGCAAACTGGGGATGTTGTTTGCTAGCCTAGCCAAAGAAATGCAGCTGGTAAAAATGAAAGGATGCTGGCAACTACCTGCTCAGCTTTCAGCCTGAAGTAGCTTGGTCAACTGTTACAGGGGCAGAGGGACGTCACAAGCACACAAAATGCTGACAGTGCAGAGGCAATGAAAGCAGCAGCTTCCAGATGCTCAGCTAGGCACTGGTGGGCCAGGAGATAAGAGTGCAGGCAGTCAGAAAAGACTGGCTGAGGATGTGATGTCAGGAAAGCCTGATGCAGAGATGGACACATTTGGGTCTCTTTCATTTGAGTGTATTCATACCATAAGAAAACATTCTATGCACGAGTTTGCAAACTACAATTTTAACTCCCTGATGCTCTTGGTATATGTATCAACACCATCCTACTCGTGAGAGGTTTCAGTTGGTGTGTGGTCTACAAAAAACTTCACAGTTTCATTGACTCTACACCCTAAAATGCTAAAATGTATTCTTTTTCTTTTAAAAATACATTTCTGTTTAAAGAGAGCAGTCAGATGAATGTGAAGTGTAAGAATGATGGTTACTTTTACTTTTTGTATTTGTTAGCAGAGTGATCCAAACTTCCTTCTCTAACAGTGTGAGGACAAGGCTCACACAGGCAAAGCCAGGTTTCTGACAATCCTTTCTCATTTGGGGCTGTCCATTCAAAAAGTTACAGGGTCAGATTCACCAGTACCCCCTGGCTGCTTTGTGCAGTTCTGCTGACACGTAGCAGCCATAAACCTAAGCTAGCTTGGCAGTTATGGCTACCCTGTGTCACTGAAGTGTATCTGAGAATCTCCTGGTCTGTATAAATCCTTTTAGGAGGAAGCTAATGCATGTTTTGTTTTCTTCTCTTTTGCAGAAAAAGATATGAAGAAGAGTAAGTACTATGCTTTTTTTTTTTTTTTTCATGTAAAATAATCTTTAAAGTGTCTTTGATTTATCTTTAGTATGTGTAAGAACACAAGCCTTTTGTGTCAGTATGCCCTGGAGAATTTTCCAGGACATATGCAGAATGCTCTGAGTGTGTCAACAGCATAGTGTCAGTCTTTGAAATCCAATTTCCTGCTACAATTCAGGCAGGCCTGCAGGTAAAGCTATTTCTAAGCTGACAACCCCTTCAGCAGCCCTATGTGAGAAGCCCACCTTAGGATCCTCCCCCAACAGTGGCTGGAAGAACAAGTTCATTGCAACTTAGCCAGAAAAGTCCCCCAGCCACTGATGAGTTGTGGTTAAGGGACTTCTGTGCCAAATGTGACCTCTTTGAAAAGCTGTAAAAGAGAATTTATCACAGCTGCAGTTTCTGGACATCCAGCCTGTTGGGCTCATTGAAATGCAGCACTGCCTGTAGTTACCTGCAGTGAGAGGTCAGAGGAGGGGTTGTCTGAACTGAAGAGAAAGATTACAACCCCAGACAAAATGTTAGGAGAAAAGAGAAGCAAGTGTGGTCTATACTGGCAGGAGAGGAACAGACCTCAAGTCAAGTCAGAGAATTTGTTAATCAGTCAGTCAATTGCATGTCAAAATGATGATCTTCATAAAATACACTTTGAAAGACTTGCATGTTGAAACTCTACTTTTGGGGGTTTTGAGCTTTTGTCTGTGATAGGAAATAGTTTCTCTGCAGTTTGTTTTGATAAGGGATATTCCTGTGTACTCCCATCCCACAGGGAGTGGGGCTCCAAGAGATACAAAATATCCAGAGGGTCACAATATGATCATGTGAGGCAGCAACTCATACCGGAATCACACAAGACTGGCTGTTCTGCCTTGTGCAACCCTAATAGATATGAATCCCTGGTTTTCTCCTTCAAACAATTTCCAGTGGAGTGTAGGAGACAGCTCACTTTCTGAGTTTAAAAGGACTCTTACAAAGCTGTCCAGAGTGCAATGAGCAGGTTTAGCTGTGGGACCCTCCCTGGCCTTGGCTACCTCACAGGCAGGGCACTCAAGAAGTCCCATCACCTGCAAATCAGAGTTGCAACAGCCCTTGGACAGGACTGCACCCAAAAATCTGATTACTCTTGAACTGGAAAATACAGCATAACTCCCCCCAAATGGTCTGTGATTGTTGCTGCTCCCAGGCTGCTTTTCATTCAAGCATGATCAAGAAAACAATTACATAAATACCAGACAGTGCTGCCCTTTGCTGGCAGCTCAATAGGTTAAATTCTGCTTGGCTTAACAACTGTGCAGCCTCACTGAATTCCCTGGGTTTGCTTGAGAGACTTATGGCACAGTGAATTATTTGCCCTACATGTCTTGTACTAAAATAAAGGCATGCATAGCAGACCATGAAGCCCAAGATTCTGAGTCCTGCTGCAGCCTGGTTCCTGCTCACCATCTCAGAACTGGCAGCTGCACATCACACCAGCCTCAGCCCAGTGGTACCATGCCGGCTGTCGTGTTTGCCACTGGACCAAGCTTGCAGTGAGAGCAAATGAAACTAAATCCTGCCTCGCCTGCCTTTGTGTAGCTCACCACCACGGGCTTTTTAAACAAGTGGGAATGTGTCTGTACTAGTTTTGTTGGGAGGCAGGAGTGGGGCTGTGCCGTGGAGCTCAGTTTGCCAGTACTGCATTTGCCAGCTGCATTTACTGCAGCACTATGGTAATTGCTGTGAGATTAGTACAGTTACATGTGACTTAGAGTATGTGCTAAATTCAAAATAATGTGGGGGGAAGGCTGAAGTAGCATCACAAATGAATTATCAACTTAATTTTCTGCATAAAAGATGTCACAAGGCATTACTCTCCTGCTTGAGTGGTGTGGCAAGGCCGTGTCCTGCCCAGCAGCTGCTGGGTCCTAACAGGGTGCCCTGCAAATGGGACTCAGAGTGGCTATCTCAGCTAATCTTGCTGGGGAGAATTAGATGAGTCAAACTTTGCAACATTTAGTGCCCCAGGGAGTCATTATCTTATAACAAACCTGCTATCTCTCGCACCATATTGCAAGACTGTGTCATGCAGATACCAAACAGAGGGCTGTTTATCACTTGGGCAGCTGTCCAAAGTGCAGCTACATAAAGAGAAGACACTTGAAGATTTTTCCATTCATGAGGCAGCTTTTATAGATTTGCATTCATAGGGCTTTTCAGAGAAAACAATAACAATTTAAGATTTTTTTTCATTATTGCTGCCAGAAGCTGAAAGAAGGAAAAACAGTTCTCTATTTAATGTAAGATACAGGGGAAATGAGGGGGATTGAAATGATGAGAATGTTTCAGGACATGAGGAAGCCTTAAAAGGCATCTACTGTTAATTTTTTTTTCACGCAGAACTTTTTTACAGATAATGGCTGTTTGAGAGAGATGGTTTAAATATGCAGATGTCTCTTCTCAAAGGCATTCAAATTGTTAGTTAAATAGTCAGCAAGTAAGGATTGGCTCTTGTACTTTTTACACATATAAAAGTAGGAATGAAGGGGTTTTTTTTCTTTTACGCTTTCTGTTACACAAAACAATAGATGTCAGCCTGCAAAACCATGTGGCTGTTCCCTATTTTTTGTACTTTCCTTCTACATTGTGTTATTTCATCTTTCCATATGCAGAAATCCTTCTTTGTCTACCCTTAACTCTTGCATAGTTAATGTCAGAAAACCTTTTCTGCGCCAGAAGAGCCTTTTTGGGCAGGCAAATGGAAAACTTGCTCTGCTTTATTGCCTTCCACACTGTCACCAGGAGCTCACCTGTAGTGCCAGTGGGGAGGTGGCAGGTAGCTGGTGCTGGAGCTGTGCCTGCTTTGCTGAGGATTGTGCTGTCATGAGGGGAGGCCATGGACATGCCTGTCCTGCTGCTGGAACCTCAGCATGGCTGGCCCTGGTCTTGGCCACCGCGTGTTACCCATTCAGGGGACACCCCCTGTTTCTACCCACCACATGGAAGGTAATGTAGGCACCTGTGGTTCAGTCCTTCCCCGTTTCCTTTGTGGCTGTTCTAGCAGCCCACAAACTGCACAGCCTCTCCCATTCCAGCCTGGAGAGTGCAAGCAAAGGCTTTTGTCTGCAGCAGGGCTGGAGTGTGACTGAGCTCTGAGCTGGCCCAAGAGCTCAGAGGGTTCTTCATGGCCTCAGCCACTTGAATGCCCAGGGATGCTGCTCTGCTGCCCCTGCCCATCCAGTGGGGATTGAGCCTAGAGCCACAGAGCACCCCTCTGCCCATGCTGGAAGCTGGGACTGTCCTGCTCTCATCCTTCTGCCACCCTGGCCACTTGCCTGCTTTGCCTTTATGTAAGGGAGCCTTCCAGCAAGCTGGATCAAGCCTGTGTGAATATCCTGTGTGTTCAACATTTCCCAGGCCAGATCTGGTACCCTTTGGAAGCCGAGGCATCATTAGAAACAACTGACTGGCAGCCAGCAAAAAACCACAAGTGAAAGGCCAAAAAGCTTAAGGGTCACTGCCAAGTCAGGGGTGTTGTGAGAAGGGATGCACTGTGAACAGGAATCCCAGTTACTCACAGCACGGAGATGTTGCAGTTTTAAGCCTGAGGGCCCAGAGCAGGATGTAACAGCCCTGCTCTCACACGCATTTCTCAAACTTCCTGTTATTTGTTCTTCCACCTACATCTCCCTTCCTGGGTGTTGTGATGTGTGAGTTATAGCACATGCACCTTTAGACTGAGTGGGAAGGTTTCAGAGCTAATGTCTGCTAAGTTCTGAAAACAGAAAATTCAGAGACCTGGGGTATATTTCTCATAGAGGGGGCGACAGCAGGGTTTCGTTTACAACACCCCTGTTCCCTCACAGATGTATCTTATTTTTTTACTTGAGTGGTAATTGCAGTTCAAGGAATTTCTAATTTTGTGACAATTATTTTGGTGTAAATTACAGAGGAAAGCCAAATCTAATGGACCTGGGATCCCTATTGATCAAACCAGTGCAACGGCTGATGAAATATCCCTTGTTACTCCGTGAGCTCTTGAACTCAACTCCTGCTTCTCACCCTGACCACAAGCCACTACAAGATGCCCTTTTTGCTATGAAAAACATTAATGTGAACATCAATGAACTTAAAAGGAGGAAAGATTTAGGTAAGAAAAGAACACATAAAGTTCTTTCTTTGTAGAAAGAAGACATATTTCAGCTCAGATATTTCACTATATAAATTTTAGCTGGTGCCACCCAAGTTGTGTAATACATTGAGCTTCAAGAGGGTAACAAAGCCTTAATGTCCCTTGTCCTCAGTGGACTATGTTACCTGACTGGTAACTTCAGTATGAAAACATGGAAGCAATTAATGTTATAGTGTCTGTAATGCAGTTGTAAACACTAATAATAATTAAGATGCAGTAATAGCAATAATTTTTAGATTTGCCAGGTTGAAGCCCTAACTTCACTTTTGTCAAGGTTACTGTTGATAATGAGGTTTTCCTCCTCTTGAGCATTTTCACATGAGATTATCCCAAATGACATCAAAGTGTCTGCTCTCAAATGGTTTCATATTTGTGTGTCTGTCCTGGTGAAAAGTCCTGCGAATAGAGACTATTGATGTAATGAAATTCTCTGTCTGCAGTGCTGAAGTATAGGAAGAATGATGATGATGAAACCCTTAAAGAAAAGTTTTCCCGACTGAATATTCACTCCATTAGCAAGAAATCCAAGAGGGTCACCAGCCATCTGAAAATACTGACGAGGGGAGAACCTCAGGTACTTACTCATCCAACTGCAGATTTGCATTGACAGCTTCAGTTCTGCTTTTGCACTGGGTGTTTTTCAAAACGTGTTGGAAATGGAGTTTGTGGTGCTGCTTTTTTTCCTGCCTAATTTGTAACGTCATTTTCTGACTGTCACAGAAGACAGGAAAGATCTTTGTGATTGAAATAGAAAATAATGTGATGCATTCTCCACCTTTTCCTTTTTTACACAAGAGTTTCTCAAACTTCTGATCTTCAGCAGAGAGGAAGTGAGAGGTAGTTTTGTGAAACTGAGCCTGAGGTCAGCATTTTGCAGATACCCTGGCAATAATTATTGTCAGAGCTGAGAACGTGTTCAGTCCATCTTGCTCATGTTGTAGCATTAAGGTTTGGAATCCACCAAGGAAGATGAGCAATACCTCTAATTAGGAAAGGCCACAGGGTTTGCCTCTACATGTGCAAAGACCTGGAACCATCAAAACTACAAAGAACTCTGGGATGAGTCTGATGCGTGTTGGGCAGCAAAAAGTAAAATCCTCCTTCATAATTTCAAAGTTGTAATTCAAAACCTAGCAGGATAAACATTTTCAGGAAAGCTTAAATCGAAATCTCAAAGAAAATCAATTATAAATGACCTTGAAAGTGATATCCAGTGCACCTCACTGCATGAGATGGCTGATTATACAAGGTCACTTGCCTTTCTAGATGTGACTTTACAAGATACATGCCATTTTTTCCTGGTTCGCTTTTTATCAGTGTTTTTCTTCTTTCTCTGATCCAAATCACCTACATATACTTTCTTCTGTTCATTTATTTATACAGTGGAAATTTTTGCATTCAGAATGTGACAGACACCAGCAAGGCTATAAAATCAGAGAAAAAAAGGGAATTAAATTTGATTAAGAGGATATGTGATTTTTCTTTTCCCTTTTTTTTTTTTTATCCTTTAGAAACTTCTGGTTTATGTTTTTTTGGTTTTGTTTCTAATTAAGCTTAAAACATTTGAGGATCATTTTAGTATCAGAATGCATCTGTTAGAGATTCAGCCGTCTCTCCTGCTTAATTAGATGGAGAAAGTCCCCAACTCACGTGTCTTGAAACACGCTGACACCCCCACGGCAAAACCACTAAGACGTGACTTGAGATTTCTGAAGCCCCTGCAGGAAAAGACGGGCAGGAATGACCGCGTTTGCAGGGTGTCCCCAGCCAGCATCAAGAAGTTTCCCGAGGCCATCGGCGGCTGCCGGCGTTTCCAGAGGAAAGGCTGGCACGGCTCTGGGATAACAGCTCCACCTACAGCCGCCGTGCGGGACAGCGCCCGCAACAGCCACCCCTCCTTAACTCCGCAATACCCATCCCTCCTTTAACTCACTCCCAAATACCCATCCCACCTTTAACTACAAAATACCCATCCCACCTTTTCCTCTGAAATACCCATCCCACCTTTTCCTCCGCAATATCCATCCCACCTTTTCCTCCAAAATAAATACCTATCCCACCTTTTCCCCTGTCCTCTCCTCAGGTGGGGCAACAGCACACAGGAAAATGAAGCATTTTGTCGGCCTTGTAGTAAAACTCCCTGCTCCCACAAAGATTAAAAATGAAATTCTCTGCCACGTGTCCCAGTGGTTTTGACTTTTCTTGAATTATAGCTGGAGCTTGGGAGAATTAGGGGTTGATATGTTTTCAAAGGGAGGAGTTCAGGGATTTTTCGAGCAGCGCTCTGGATGTTTCTTTCATTAGCCAGGCTCCTTTGGGCTGCCAAAATAACGGTGCAAATGTCTATTTTAGGTGAAAGATGGAACTTTTAATAAGGAAGAAAAGTTGTTTCAAACTCTAGAGAAGACTGTGAAATTGTGTGTGAAGAACATTTCGCTCTGTTCGCAACATCTCCAGGTGGGTCAGGCCTTTTTGCAATCTGTGGTCACAAACCCTGTCCATAACCAGTTTGACACACATTTCTGCTACTGGCTGGGCAACACCAAATTATCTATAACCAGGGCTGTCTACATCAGAATATTAAATAAATAAGCTGTGCTGCCACTGCATTACTGAGCCCATGGCAAAGTTTTGAAGCCCATGCTTTTCCATTTTTCCCCTGACAGAGGCAGGTTCTGGGGAGACCCACAGGTGCAGAGAAGAAGGTTCTGTCTGTGGCACAGTCAGGACTTTCAATCTCCGTGTGAAGCTGTCACCCCTATCTGCTGCAGTGGGGGACCAACTGAGATTGAACCAATCTTCTCATTAAAGATTGAAGAATTGAGCTGCAGCCACATGAATGAAAACATCCTAAAATACATATCTTGGATGGAAGGACTCCTTCCCTTTTTCTGTGTTTAGGTTGTGCTGAGGGCTAGCATTAGACGTACAGAGTACTCGATTTCTCTAAAATGTCTCTGCTTCAACCCTCCTCTCCAGAGATGAAGGTTGGCTTGTCCCTTCCATGGACTACTTGCCAGCTTTGTAGATGGCATGAGGCCTATCCAAGTGTAAGAGTGCCCTAGCCAGGCAGGGAGGGTGTTTGGGAGACAGGCAAGATCAATAACCAGCTGGCCGGGGCTTATGGCGAACGCACCGTGTTTGGTTCTGCCAACAGGGAAAGGCCAGGGAGCTCAGCCAAGCAGGGCTGCTCCCTGGAGTGGTGCTGACAGCTCCTTATCCAAATGGATCCACACTTCATTAAGATTTAAATTCTGAGTAACTGAAATACACCACTGTAGTCCTACTTGGTCCCCCAAAGGAGATTTTTGAGGATGCATGGTAAGCTGGCTTCTTGCTGAGGAGTAGCTGAATTCCAGTGGGATATTCATTAGTTTAGGGCATAATTCTTTCAGTTGAACATTAACAGCTTGATTCTTAAGTAGTTTACATTGAAAATAGACAAAGCACAGGAAAATATTTTCACAGTAAACAACCTCATAATGACTGGAAACTGCACAGCAACTGCACAGGTGTCAGAGATGGAAAATATTTCTGATTCCAGAAGTATTATTGAGTAGCTGCATGAGTGAATGCAGCATATTAAAACGGATTGTAATAGTTTCATCTTCCAATCTTTTAATTTAGGATTCTATACATCTGGCTGCCCAGAATATAATTGAGCTTCAGGAAATCCTGCAAGATAAAGATGACAAAGTTGATGACTGTTCAGAAAAACAGACCAACACTGCAAATCTATGTGAAGACTTTGTAAGTTAATGCAATGTCCAGTGTTACACAGCTATATGTATGTCTGAGAAAACAGCTGTATGTGAGGAAGACTAGGACAGAAAAGAGGAAAAAAAACCAAAACACCTTAGGAATCTGTTGGGAAAGATAAGTGGGGGTTTTGGTTGAATTTCTGTAGGAACTAAGATAAAATACAATATAAATGAATTGCATTTTCCTTAGAAGAACGAAAGAAAACCTGTCAAGCTAAATTCCTAGGTTTATACTAAAATCTTTGCATCAAATTTGTATCACCTAAACAGTTCTGTATTTGTTTCACCTGAACTTCAGAAAAGAGCAGGAGATTGTTGCCTTGCTACTTTTGTTACCAGCACTTGCAGTTTGAGTGACTTTTGTGATTGATATTATGCTTGTGTACTGTTTGCTCCTGGAATCACAGATCTGTAAAAATCTCAGATTTATTAACTGGAAAAAGGCCTCTCAGATCATCAAGTCCAGATATTAACACAGAGCTGTCAAATCCTTGATATGGGGAAACCATGAAAAATCCAAATATAGCCCATAGTAATTAATAAAGCAATTTTAAAAATAGTAATAGTTTTTCAACTAGTCTTCTGCTTTCAGAATTAAAATGAACTCTAATAAGAGCCTGGCTCTAATAAGATACTTAAATGTCTTTTCAAAATGGGACAGGCTGCTTATTCAGACAGCTGCTCAAGCTGGAAAAATTCAGAGGTGGAGGTGCATTTGTCAATAATGTATACTTTCCTCTCTCATTAGATTTTTGGAAAATTGTCTGGGCAGAAATTCCCAGTAGCCTCTTTTTAAGAAATCAGGTCCAGCAGTTTGGAAGAATTGTTTTCTTAATGCATCAAAAATCAGTTCACTAAACACAGCCCAGTTTTTCATGTGGAAATAAAATAGGAGCTATTTAGCCAGTGTACATCATCTTGGCCTTGGAGAGCAACTCTGGGGCTAAAATGGGTCTGTCCTCGACTCTGCTGTTTTTGAGAATGCGGAGGCAGATGCTTTTTTATTGTCACATCCAACCCAACAACTTAATTCACACAGAATGTCCAAGAGCTTTAATATGATGATGAATTTCACTCACTACAAGCCTGTGCTTTATTTGAACAAATGACTTACAAAAATAAATTTTATTTCATGCAATATTAATCCCATGAGACAATTAGAGACTAATGGAAAAGTGTAAGGAAGACTGGTTTTTTTACCAGGTGTCTAATTTTGTTGATTACTAGCGATAAAACCAACAAGCATAACCTAATTTAATCAAATCAAGTGATTGTTTGTGTTTGCTTAAACAGGAATTGAGTTACAGCTGTTTCTTTTCCCGAGAGAGAAAAAAAAAAAAAGAAAAAAAAAAGAAAAGCAGCTTTGAGAGAATTCAAGGCTGCCACTTAATAAGACCTCATTTGCTTTAGACTGTATATTGATGGAAATCCCAGTTTTATTTGACCACTTGACCAATCCTTGCAGTGGCAGCTCCCTAGGGGCAGTACCTGAGGCTGCCTGCTCCAAGGGACCACTGCCATTAGCAGACACTGTAAGCTGAAAAACTAACATCTAAAAAATTAACATCTCCCATTATGAAGGAGACTCTAAGTCATGCTGGACCCTGCTTGAAACTGCCTCTGGCAGCAAAGCTTTGTGAAGAGTGATTAACAGATTGCTTGATGGGCTGCATCAGGCTCAGCCCCTTATGGCATTGGATGGACTGTATCAGTGAGGTAATGAGTAGGTTGGTTTATACTTTCCAGATGGCTCAGCTGGACAAGCTTGTCTTGACTCCTCTGACAGCACTGCAAGCCCTGTTTCCAGGCCCTCAGAAGCTCATCCAGAAGCGCTATGACAAATTGTTGGACTACAACAGCTACCTTCAGAGGTCAGCTCGAGAGGAGCTGGACCTGGCAAAGAAAGACTATGAGGCTCTAAATGCACAGCTAGTGGAAGAACTTCAGGTATTCAACAGAGCAGCCAAAAAGATCGTGTTGAACTGTCTACATTGCTTCATCACCCTCCTCAGGAATATTACGTTTGCAGCACTTCAATCAAACTCTGCTGTTGTGGTGCCTGTTCCAGTAAGTACCTTAGAAACAGGTGTAGCTGTGCCTTAATTTCTCTTTTCTTCTTTCTGTATGCTTTGGCTAAAATTATGTAGGACACATATCTACAAAGCTACACTGATTTACTGATTTTGTGACTTTGTTTGTTCTGCTGAGCACAGTCAGATTTGTTTTTTTTTTTTCCTTAGCAAGCTCAGTACAGATTAAGTTCTTAGAATCAAAATGGTTTGGCTGGAAGGGATCTTAAAGACCATCTAGTTCCAATTCCCCTGCCATTTACAGGGACACCTTCCACTAGACCAGGTTGCTTAAAGCCCCATCCAACCTGACCTTTGAAGCTTCCAGGAATAAGAAACCCACAGCTTTCTTGCAGAAGCCATTTCTGTGCCTCACCAGGGTCACAGTAAACCAAACTAAACCTGCAGTCTTTCAGTTTAAAGCCACTCCCCCCTGTCCTGTCACTACATGCCCCTGTAAAATGTCCCTCTCCAGCTTTCCTGTAGGCCCCCTTCATGTCCTGAAGGCCACAGTAAGTCACTCTGGAGTGAGTTTTGAGGAACTTCTGTTCTGAACTTTTGTCAGATCTGGGCTTTTCATTGGGAATGATCCTAATGGAACTGTTCCTGCTGTTGCAGTGACAGTGATGGCAAGAGTATTACAGGGAGGCAATAAGAAGGCAGCTGCTAGCATATCTTAGCATGTACCCTGACTATTCCAGAAAACACAGGAAATTATAAGAAAGTGCATGAACACCTCCTTTGCTGCTAGACCTGCAGAGTCACAGATGACTGCAAAAGAGAAACAAGTTCGGAGATCCGATGAAATGGTTTTTATGAAAATCAAGGTGCTTTAAAACCCAAATATGATGTAGAAACTCCTGCAGATATCTCTCAGCAGTAATGAATACTCGGCTGGAGGACTTGAACCCCCCGAGAAACACAGCTGCAACAATGCCTTCCACACATACAAATCCACTCACCTGAACAGAAGCAAGGCTGCTTGGGAAACACACTCTAGTGAGGCAATTCTGGAATATTCCTTTCCATCAAGACTGGAACAGAGCGCATAATAGTAAGGGGCAGCTGAAAAATTAAGCAAAGAAGGTCAGGATCAAAACATAGAGCTCTGGTGTTTAATGGGAAAATTAAGGATTTTTCTGCATGAAGAAATTTCATCCCTGTAATTTGATGTTTTCATGTGTTGAAAGCTGTTGTATTGGGCACTGTTTTCTCTGAGGGTTTGGCTACAAAATTACCTTATTTTTCTTTTTTTCCTGTTTACATCAGCAAATGCATTTGGTATTAGGCATATACAGAAAGCACTTATTCAGTGCCACAGACAGAGACTCAGTTACCCAACAATTTTTAACCTGTTGGCAGCTCTCAGTTGCACAAACACACAGCTGTGGAGTAAACTACTCCAAGCCTTGCAGCACATTGACCACTCTGATAGCTGCTGAGATGATCATTTGCATCTGAAAGCAAGTGGCTCAGTAGCATAAATGCAAGGCTCTTCATTTTCATCACCATTTAGAATATTTTTAATGATTTAACTTCAATTGCTATGTCTATTAAATGTAATAGCGTCCATTAGAAACTTTAAGCAAAGACCTTTCTTCTCCTTACATCTCATACGTAGAGAGTGCACTGCTTATGGGTTCTGCAGAAAATAGACATAACTTGTTAGATTTCCTGACTCCTAACTCTCAGCAAATTAAATTAAATCTGCTCTCTCCAATCTCCCTACTATTTTGTACATGAGATCTAACCCACATTTGTGTTTGCAGCTGTCCTCCTCAAGCATCTGTGAAGTGCAGAATCAATTGATAGAGGAGGTTCACAAACTGAATTTTGTAAAAGAAAACAGCAGTGCAATCTTTATTGAGAGAAAATCGAGCCTGGAAAAAAAGAAACCTGTTCCTTCTCCGGTGAGTACCATACATCCAAATTGTGTATGAAGCATCCTCTTTCGATCACTTTTGAAGCAAATCCATTTTTATGCCACCCAAAGTTTTGGGCTTTGTCTCTCCACTACGACTCTGAATCACGTTGTTGGAGTAAAGTTTTCATTGACCAGTAACTTCTAAAGATTTTTCATTTTTTTCATGTTAATATCTTGAAGATCCACTTGAAATTACCTCAGATTGCCCTTAGGCCTTTAAGCACATGGTAAGGCTAAGATATATGTAAACTTTGGTAACTTCTTTTGTTAAATACTCTTATAGTGCATCTTAGTCTTCTAATTCAGAACATTTTTTCCTTGTGCTCAGTTGTGGTTATGTGCACTGGTGTTTACACATATATGTACAAACATACACAACCACAGCAGAAGACTCAGAAAATCCACCAGGAAATCTGCAGTCTCTTATCAGATGTTTCTGGAGATTTTAGGAGTTTAGTTTACAGTAAAATAAGGACTTGGGTGCAGGTTTACAGGAGAAGCTGGGGCAGTTGTAGAATTCCTTTCAGCATCAGTGAAGGCACAGTTCTTGCTTCTGTGGTACGTTAAGATCCCATTGATGTGCAGCATATCCCTCTCTGCCCTCTAACCAAACCCTGAAATGAATATGCTTGCAGCAGGTAATGGCATCTTGTCCTCATTAGAGAGGTAATTTCACACAAGAAGCACCCAGTTTGGGTACCACTGATTTTTTTTGCCTAATGCCTTGTCATGGAAGTTGTTATGTGGCCTTAGCACACCTCAGCCCATTTTTGGATTACGCTTTTTTGTGATATTACATCGGAATACAAAGGTCATGGCTATGGAAAACCAATTAGGCAGAAGAGAGTTCACATGCAGAACACCACCTCTTTGAGAGCACAGGACAGAGGACAGAGGTCTTTAATTAGTGAAAATCCTACATTTCTTTAAAATCTGCCCTTTATTTCTCACCTGTTAATATAGCAGTGGGACAGGTTCTTCCTGCATATGCAGAGGAGATTTAGTTCCGGTGTAACTCCTTGGTCTGTGTGTAAAAACACTGGGTCAGTTGCCACATGCAGCATTTTTATCTTGAAATGGCCCCAGCATTACTGAGGATGAATATCATCTGTTTGTTTCCAGCTGGAGTCCCCACGGCAAACAGAGGAGCACAGGTCCAAGCTGCTGTCCACGTACAGCACCGAGTCACTGTACCAGGCTAAGCGCAAGTGCAACGCCGCGCAGGAATTGGATATTGACTTGCATGAAGGAGAACTGGTGGCTGTTGTGGAGCAAAAGGATCCCTTTGGAAGCACAAGCAGATGGCTTGTTGACACAGGAAGTAAGTTCTCTGCACAAATATCCCAATAACAGCTTCCCTTTGGGATATTGATTTCTTTTCATTCTGGCCCCATCTGTTTGCCTCTGTCACACTGACAGCTGCATAAAGCGGTTGGTTTTGAAATTATTTTAGCAGCATTTTGCTGTTTATTTATTTTCTGTCTCTTTATTCTGGTTTCTAGTCCTCACAGGATATGTGTATTCCTCCTTCCTGAAGCCATACAATCCAGCCAAAGCACAGAAGGATGTAGCAGAAAATGGCTTTGGTGATGATGATTTTGATGACATCAGCCTCTTTGTCTCTTCACGGCCCCTTACTGACAGCAGCACGAGCAGCCCAGGGTACAAGAAGAGCGACAGCAGTTCACCTTTTCACTTCTGTGAAAATTCTTCTATCAATGGCACGGAGACTGGGGCTCTTCAGGGTATGGATGATCAGCAGGTAAGTATGATACACACTGTGCCTGTCTTCTTGTTGTTCCTATTTAAAATCCAAAATTATACTGTTAGTAATTTAAATGTTTTTCCTTTCAAACCAGAAAAGAGTGGCACCAATCTGTCAGTGTGATATAGGAATTTGTTATTCTCTGTTCTTAAATAGCTGTGAGGTAGGAAAAGAGAATCAGTTAAATTGTGAATTGCACTCCCGTGTCACTCTTGCATCATCCCACCCCATGTATACCTCAAGGTTCTCATATGGAGAAGGACCTTGCAAAATAGCTCAGTTTGGGGGATTTCTCTACTTACTGTTGACAAGAAAGCTGTGACAAGAATGCTGATCAGCAAGGCACAGAAGTGACCCATGTGCCACATTTGAGCATAGGAGCTTTAGGAAAGGTGATTCTCCATGAGGAAACCCTGCTGAAGAATTCTTCATGCAACCCCTGGGCACTTGGTGCAAGCTGAAAACTGTACCAGTGTTGCAAGGTGATGAGGTCTTGGATATTGATTTGTCATGCAAAACTCCCCAGATGCTTCAATTTTACTTTTTAGTTTGTCCCTGTCTATAAATTGCAGGCCATGTAGCTGAACGCTGGTTTGTAGGTTACTACATTTCTGTATACAGAACTGCTGCTGACACACAACTACACAGTAACATGTGGCTACACTTCTCAATTCTGATTTTTGTTTATGTGGCTTTCCTTTTTCAGATCTTCTATGCTGTTTATGCATTTCAAGCTAGAAGTGATCAAGAACTCAGCCTTCAGGAGTACCAGAGGGTGAGGATACTTCGCTTTTCCGATCTGAGTGGAAATAAGGAATGGTGGCTAGCTGAAGCAAAAGGCCAGAAGGGATATGTACCATCTAATTATCTAGGGAAGATGACATATGCTTAGGAGGGGAAGGGTCTGTTGAGCCAGACTCCCTGAAGCAGACAGAATAATCATCCGTTAGGTTTGCTGCAAGCAAAGCAAGCTCAAAAGTGATTGACAGAAGCCATGGTATCCAGCACACAGATGATACTGAGAACCTCCATTCTCCAAAAGCCATCACCTTGTCAAGACCTGAGGGAGGAAACATTTAACAGGAAGACTGATTCTGATTAACATGCTGAAGAGCTTGCTTTTCTATTACCCCATAATTTTCTCTTTTGTCAAAGCGTCGTACATCAAGACTCAACCTACAAGTACAAATCACAGATGAAATTACATTTTTCTTCCATGATATTTAGCAAATAATATTCAAGATGAAGAGAATTAGCCTTGAAAAAGGACAAATTCAGTCATCAGGGATACTGTAGGCTGAGTTGTTCCTGAACTGTTATCTCAGTGAACACAGACACATCTTAAAACTTGAGCTATTTTGATAGTCTGTTTTTATGCTCAGCCGCTTTTGTGAAGAACCTTTTTTCTCAGTGGAGATTATTGGACTGGGAAAAGAAAAAGGGCTTTAATTTTAAGGAAACATTTCAACATTTAAGACATACCAGGTGTGGTGGTACCAGTGACTAGTCCCAGGGTAGAAGGGGAACAGTTTGTAGGAATATGGAAGTGCCCCAAGTTTGAAATCCACATATGTCTCCACACTAACTGCTTTAGTGCAAGATCTGTGTAGTGAAATGAAACCTATGTTATTAGTCTTGGGAAATTTACTAGTTAAAAAGAAAAAAAAAAGAAAGAAAAAAAGAAGAGAAGTCAAGTGGTGCCTTTCGATTAACATTTAGTGCCTCTCTGATTCCTTAAGTCAGATGCAGGGATCATAATATCTAGTCAATAAGTTTCTTTAGGTTCACTGACTGCAGTGATTCCTAGGTCAGGCTGGTGCCCTGCATTTAAGACAGACTAAATGGTGACAGCAACCAGAAAACACCTCCTTGTGACTCTCACTGGTATCTGAGTGCTCAACAAAAGGTATTTCACCACAGCAGTGCCAAGGTCCTCTAGTGATTAGCCAAGACCTGGTGCAAAGCACTGCAAAAGGAAACAAAAAAAGTGATTATGCCTGCTGCAAATAACTGAAAGTAAACTCCTGTCAGGTATTTTCTGGTTTGCATAATTGCTTGTACTTATTACAAAAATGACAACACTGTTACAATCGAGGGCTGGGCAGGTCGTGTTGATGATCAAGGGCAAACAGAAACTCTTCTAAAGCTTTTGTCTGAGTTTCTACTTCCCATAGTTTGAAGAGTGAGGTTTGAAGTGATTCAAAATGCTTAGTGAGATGTAATAGAAAATAACCTGTCAGCAAAGAAAGGATGAGAAAAGTTAGGGCAGTTGCTACACACAATAGTTTCTGCTATGCTAATGAACTTAGTTTCACTTTCTTTAATGTCCTCAATTTTCAGATTATTTTCATAGAAGGGTAGAAAAAGTTGTCAGTCTTGCTCAGAGACTGAATGCAGCAGGGGATCACAGAGATTAAACCTGAAATTTGTGCTGGATTAAATCATATGATAGAGAAACTTTTAGAGTTCTCAGAGACAGACATCCAGAATCTGGTGTGGGAATCTCTGTGTACTACTGCTATTCAGTAAGCATTATTTTGCCTTATTGTACATCACCTCAGGCACTTAAATCTTGCTGTTCCCATAGCAAGCAAAAATTATTTTCAATCATTTAATGAATGGATTTAGCTGCTTTTATGGAAAGCTTCACCTTTAGTTAAATGAAGAAAATAAAAATACAGAGGGAGCATCAGCTTGGAAGAATGGACTGAAAGACTCACTGCTACCCTTTTACTGCTTTGGCTTTTATAATTTGAGCTTATGGGGAAAATACACACAAGAAGGTTTTCAGCTCTGCTTTACAATTTAGAATATTTTATATGGAGAAGATCTATACTTTGCAGTAGCTGAAACAGTTTTAGAAATGACTGAATTGTACTTAATAGGCTTAATGTAGTCATGTAAGCACAATGATGAAGTTTTTATTTCAGACAGCAAAATTAATCAAGGGAAAGAGGAAAAAAAAGGATTTCTGAAATCTTAGTGCTGAGAACTCAGCTTGAGTCACAGGAGAGCTCAGATTTTGAGTGTTAGGTACATTCTCCATGAAGAATCAGACTCTGTGAAGGTGTCTCAAAGAGTACTCAAATGCTGCTCTCCAAAATATAGGTATCCTGATCCTGAAGTAACAAGGAATGAAGGATGAATATACTGGAGTTGACCACGTGAATTTCTGGGGACCTGGGAATGCCTAGTAGGCCAAATGAAATTGCTGTAGAATTAGGACCCATAATAATTTTTATTTTGTGGGATAATTATATGACTTTATTGTAGCCTTGTAACTTTGGATCCAGTGAAAGTATGTAATTAGGTACCCAGGTGGATTGGCTTAGTCCATTTCAGAAATTCAAATTGTTAGCCATTATCATTTGATACTATGAATACATCGCAAACTTTTATTTTTAAAACAGATTAGTGCAAACAGCAATTGCAGAAAATTAAGAGATACTCCTTGAATCTAAAGCCTTCCAAATTAAGGATTTACAACAATTCATATTAGAGTTGCTCAGTCACATTTTTGTTAAGACAGTGCTTTAAGTACTAGAAACTGAGCTGTGTTAGGGCTCCAGAAATTCAGAAGAATATGCAATAGTTTTGCCACTGGATTTTTTTTTACTATAGGGAAGGTTACAGTATTCTAGGAGCTTTCTTATTCTCATTAATGACAAAACTAATTTATTTTGATTGAAGCAGGGACAGGCTGCAGTTTGCTGGATTGATCTTGCATGTGTTCAAATGCATGTGTTTTACTGGAGGTGTTGTGACAATAAACATGTACAAGTACTTCCAAGATTGGGTCCACTCAAACTGAAGTGCTTCTCCAATCAGGGAATATTTTTATGTGTTGCCATTGATAACTTGGAACCCAGAAAGTGTCCAAGCCAGAACACAGGTCCACTCAAACTGAAGTGCTTCTCCAATCATTTGAATATTTTTATGTGTTGCCATTGATAACCTGGAACCCAGAAAGTGTCCAAGCCAGTACACAACAGAGTCCCAGGCTCTGACCTCTGGCACCTCCGTGCTTCACCATCTTCCCTTTGGCTGGTTGATCTTTGAGCAGGGGTTCAGCAATGCAAACACAGACTGAAGAATTATTCCTTCATCTTTGGAAGCTTCACTGAGTAATTAATTCCTTCAAACACCTTCCTTTCTTCAAGCATACTCTTCCTGTCATTTTAAGATAGCTTTTAAAAATGAAGATAGATGAAGCGGACCTACCACGTGCACTAGGAAACACAGCCATGATAATCCTTGCTCCCATAGATCTGTTACTAATAATTACAATATTGTTGGGAAATAGTAAAAAAAAAAATCTTCTTTTAAATTATTGTAATAATAAAAATCTATTTTTGTAAAGATGTTTCTTCTTCTTTATTTTTTTAAATATGATCTTTTCCAGGAGCAAAGAGCTTTATATGCTATCCAAGATCTGCCTGCAAAGTTAGCAGAAGAAATAGTTAGTTGCCTCAGAGAAAATGCTGCATTTCTAGGATGCATCCTAGCTTATTGATCAATACATTAGAACTTTTCAAGCACTATCAAAAATACTAAGGAAGTTTAAAAATACACTTCAAGGTTCCAGATGTCAGCATAGCTCTGTTCTTTTCCAGCTGCTTCTGAGATTGTGACCACTATGAGCTGTAGTAGATAAAAGTTTGTAAATCAGAGCCTTGTGTTAGACCTTCCTTTTTAGACACAGATATCACCAGCATCCTCTAGTCCAGCCAGAAGGAGCACTCATGGAACCAGAGTAACCTATAATTTCACATTACTGAGGGTATCAGAAGTTGGGTATCTATGAAAAAAACATCCTATTTAAGTGGAAGTAAAATACTACCAACACCAATTTCTAAAACATTTAAGAAAAGTCAGGTAGCTATTTTTATAGTAAATCACAGAGCAATTTGGTTTGGGGATAGAAAAATCACAGGACTATTTTCCAGTCATTTTTACGAAATAGGAGGCATGCTTCTCAAATTTCAGAGGGCATTCCTTCTTCCTGCCCTACACTACATTCCTCAACCTGACACACGACTTCAGTCAAACAAGCCTGTAGAACAGACTCCTTTCCTGAAAATACAGTTGTTAATTCCATCCTAACTATAACATCAAAGCAGAAAGCAACTGTTGCCTTCAATCTTCTCTATTTTTCAGCAGTGCCTATCTAACATATTCAAGCTAAACACTTGATTTAAAAGACTTGGTCTGTGCTATAAATCCTTTCTGATATAACACTTCAAAGAATCACAATCCTAACTGACATTTTTATACCAAGAGAGGATGACTTTGTATTTCATTTAGGAAGCTGGGAAAGTTACAGTGGAAGAAAGTCTTTTGCTGATACAAACTGTACCTGTATTGCAGATTTTGCTAATGCAGTGCTATTGAGGAGTGCAGCCAGACCTGGCCTTATTAGAGGGAAAAGAAAGGCACAAAAAAGCACAGCATCACTTATTTCATTCTGAATGGAGGGACCCTACAGTCCATCCATGCCAGAGTTATAGATGCAAAGACACAGGGCACACTTGAATCAGGTCTCAGGAGTATTCTAAATGGCGTTAGCTACCACAAGTTGAAAACAAGGATCATTCTTTTTCTGCCTGTGTTCATTGGTGGTACCTAAAGTAATGGGCACAGTTGAGATGTAAGCTCCTGCACTCTCACCAGCAAAGCTTTATGTGTGTTCAGAGGCAAGACAGAGGCACCTAGCACCTTGAACACCCCACTGGGAGCAGGTTTTACCACTGGAATGAACACATAGGAGCACTTGGCCATTGAAAGAATCCATCTTCACACTATTTCTCAGTGTAGGCAACAGTCTTCTGATTAACACCTAGGAAGAAAATATGCCTTCTGTTTGCTAATGGAAACTGCATCAGTGTCTTTTCCTATTATGCTACCATTAAAAACCCTCTGTGCTAGAAAGGAGGAAGGATGGGCTGATCAAAAAGCAGTAAAAGTTCTGGATTCCTCCTCCTCATGCTGTTATTTTTACACAGCCCTGGAAGCTGCAGACACTATAAAGATAAAACCTTTTTTTTTTTTTCCCTCCACAGGAAATTATAGCTGAAAAAATATGCAAATTTTCCAGGCAGCTGAGGCAATCCTGAGTAAATGAAACTATTCCTTTGGCTGTGTAAGGAACTTTAGCCTAAATCTTAATTGTGGAGAAAGGAAATGAGGTATGGGAAATAGCTGCCACGTATCAAGCTTTACACACACTTAAAATACAGGATGGCAAATTAAAACAGTAGCTTTCACCTACCCAATTGTGGAGAAAGGAAATGAGGTATGGGAAATAGCTACACACACTTAAAATACAGGATGGCAAAGAAAAACAGTAGCTGTGCCAGTCTGTGTGGTGGGTTGACCATGAACAGATGTCAGGTGCCCAACCCCAGCTGCTCTGTCACTCACTCCCCTCCTCAGCTGGGCAGGGGGCACAGAAAATAAGATTAGTATGTCAAGATAAGAGGAGTGAGAGATCACTCACTAATTACCATCATGGGCAAGACTCGGCTTTGGGAAGATTAATGTGGCTTATTACCCATCAAATCAGACTATGATAAGGAGAAAATAACACTGGCCATGCAAACCCAATACAGTCCAAGATGTTTTCATGTTTAGAGGTGCTCCCCTCATCACAGAAGGAATGGAGAGAAATTGCCATGTGCTGGTCACAGAGAGCAAGACTGAAGGTCATTTTCCAGTGCCCATCTTGAACCCATTCTAAGCTGAACACAACCTGGAGCAGCTGGGATGAAGAGAGGGAGCACAAACCATGAGGAACAGCTCAGGGATAACAGTGGAGAGCTGGAGTACCTGATATTTCCCAAATACAGGATGATTCTCTACATTTTAAGAAAACTTGAAGACAATTTGACTCTCTTCTGTTCCTTTTAGTTGAAGTTTCTCACTGTATAAAACCAAAACAGTTCAATTTTAGCAAACTGCCCAACCAAAAATCTCAGTCTAAATACTCTGTTGTTGAACAGTTAAATTTTGGAATTTAAGTAGTTTTTCCTCTAATAAACTTTATAATTTGAGGTAATAAACTGCACAATATTGAACATGTGAAGCCTTTTAAGTATTGGAATATGGGGTGAAAGAAGAGTAGCAATGACTTCCCAGATTAATAATCTTTTTATTATTAACATTTAAGAATGATGGTTTCAGCAAGTTCAATTTATTAAGTATCTACACAAATGTGGGGGTTTTAATATTAAAAAAGACCCGACATCTACAATTTCAAGTTTCATGTAATAATGAATTCCTCTAACATATTCAGTTCACAGATTTGGAAAGGCAGAAGGAACACCAGAATTATTAAAATTCGACCTTCTGTATTACACAAGGTTTGGGCTTCCCTGATTTAACCTCCTTCAGTCCAGTACCTGGGGGATTTTCTTTAAGAAAAACACCGCCGCCGCTGTCTCACAAACACAACATCACCAAGCGGCCACGCTATTTCTTGAGCTTCTTTTGAGCAGCCTTCTTCTTGACCATTTGTAGCCGTTTCATGGCGTTGAGCTGGGACTCCTGCGAGGTCGGGCCCTTCAGGGAGGCCGGCTGGCTGCCGGTGTCAGCCGCGGCTTTGCCGGCGCTGCTGCCCGCGGAGCCGCTGCCGCCGTTGCCGCCGCCGGCCTGACCGCCGGTGCCGGGCGCGGCGCTGCCGGGGCTGGGCAGCCCTGCCTTGCTCACGTTGTCGCTGCTCACCGAGCGGCTCAGCGTCGTCTTCCCCAGGGTGAGCGGCGGGGGAGGCTTCAGCTGAACGGGGTTTGCGTTGTTGTTGGCAGAAGCTATTTTGGCCCCCAGTCCTGTCTTTGAAGTGGCCAGCCCTGACAAACCCACGGCTTTCTGGTTGTTTGAAGAAGCTGCAGGTTTGCCGCCGGCACTCTGCGCTGCGGATCCCAGTTTGGCAGTGGATGGGTTGGCAGAGGAGGTTTTGGCTGCAAAAGCAGCCCATCCTGTAAGGCCGCTCGTTGCTGAAGAGGAAACGCTTGTACTGGCAGAGTTCCCCGAAACTGTTGCTGAGGTCTAAAATAAATAAGCATTCTTATTATAGCAGCATCTATTTGTGTAACACATCACAGCAGGAATACACTGAGCCTCCGATTCAGCTCTTTTCCCAGGAACACCCAGTGGACAATATTTCATCACTGGTCACCACAGTTGAAAAGTACTAACAAGAACAGGAAAGGATGCCAGGTACAGCCAACTTTCAATCTCCCAGGCACACAGCACACAGTATCCTTTCTCCCCTTTCTTCTGCACACTTAGCAGACTACCACACAGCACTGTGATCCCTCCATAAACAATAAAAGCCCAAATCTGTGAACTGTATAAAAGGTCGTGGGGCTTGCTTTCTTTTTTGTTTACTGCTGTTGCCAGGTGTCACTTTTCAACAAGCTGACAGATGCTCAAAAATTAGACACTGAGCAATTAAGTATTGGATTTATTACAGTCTTACTGTCCAAACAGCAGTATCTAAACAGTTTCCTTTCTTTTGGGTTCTCAGCCTATAGTCTTTTCCCATTCAGGTATTTCAAAAGACACTTTCAGCAAACATGGGTTTCCTTTGCCTGCAAAACACTGTGCTATCCACACTGAGTTCCCACACCTCAAACCCTCCAATCCCCAGGCTTCAGGTAAGGATGTTATGTTGATTTAAATCAGTTAGACCAATTGGCAGAGACAAAACAAAAACTAAACCTCTCTATTAAAGTAATACTCCTTTTATAGTATACCCAGACAACTTCTAAACAGTAAAGCTGATGGAAGAAATCAGGTCCCAGCTCTTACAACCTGTTTAAGCACATAAAGAACTCTGCTGAGGTGAAAAAAGTAATTCATAAGTGTAAGTACCAGAGCAATACCCATCCTAGTATTCATGATGGTTTGCATCCAGGCAGAGCAGTGGCAAACAAAACTTTGAGCATATGAATAATTGCTTTAATTTTCAGACAAAGCTGTGTTTTCCTAAGAAAGGGTCATGCTTTATTAGACTACTCTGTTATTTATTACACTGCTTCTGGTTTACCACCTTCGACCAATCTGACCTTTTGACAGTGTCTTAATTTGGAAAAACAGAAACACGAGGCAACACAGAATCAAAGAGAATCACAGAATGGTTTGGGCAGGAAGGGATCTTAAAGATCATCTTGTTCCAATCCTCCCAGCATGGGCAGGAATGCCACCCTCTAGATCAGATTATATTTAAGAAGCTCCTAAATTAAATCTCACAGAGTCAGCAACACTTTCCCTACAATGGAACCACAGAACTGTCTAGGCTAGAAAAGACCTTCAAGATAATCAAATTCAAGTGTAAACCCAGCACTGCCATGGCCACTGCTGCC